TTCATGGTTTAAACCCAGCCAGCAACTAGGTACCACACAGCCACTCGCTCACATCCCTCCTGCCTAGTGGAGGAGAAGAATCTGAGGAAAAGACAAAGAAACTCATGGGTTGAGATAAGAACAATGTAATAATTGAAAGTAAATGAAATAAAATAATGATACCAATAATGTTAATGATACCAATAAGACTAACGATACCAATGCTACTAATATTACTACTAATAATATGCAATGAAAATAATACTACCACTACTACTACTAATAGTATGTCATTCAAATAATGGAAAAGAAAAGAAATTACACAAATTATACCAACCGACACCCAGCCAGACCCAGAGCAAGAGAGAGAGCGACCAGGGAGAGAGTCCCGCAGCCCGCCCTCCCCAGATTATAGGCTGAGCATGGTGGTGTATGGAATGAAATGTCCGGCTCGGCTGTCCGGGCTGTGTCCTCTCCCAGATTCTCCCAGAGCAGAAGCTGGGAACACAGGGGCAGGATCAGAAACTGAAAAAGTGCTTGACTTGGTATTAACATTGCTTGGCAACAACTGAAGATGTTGGTATGTTATCAGTATTCTTCTCAGCACAACCAAAACAGCCTCATACGAGCTACTGTGAGGAAAATGAACTCTGTCCCAGCTACTAAGCAGCACACCCGTGAGCTGAATCAGGAGCAGTGGCACTTGAGCAAGTGGCCAGTGGCAAGCGGAAGGAACAGTCACAGTTGTTACCCGTACAAGCTTGGCAAGCCTAGCTTACCTGTTGGTGTTTGATGCTTTCCCACTAAATTAATATGTAAAAAAAATTTTCCGTTTACTAAGGTAGCAGCAAGGCTCTGAGAAACAAAGCTTGAACCTTTCCCTGAATAAAACAAGCTTTGTTCCAAAATGTAGTTAAGATTGCCACGGGAGAATGCGTTTGCCCTCTGGTGCCTTAGCTACCGATCACCAAAGAAATAAACAGATAAAATAGCATGGGATAAACTGCCAAAATAATACAAACAGTTGTCCTGAGTGTGGAGAAATCTTCTGTTTCACCACGAGGCTGGTCCTCAAGTAATCATCCCAAACTGTGAGTAAGGCAAACGCTTCTGGGAAGGAGTGTCCCAACTCCACATGCACTTTATCAGTTGTTCACGGGCAACTGTAAACCAAGGTATTCCTGTCAAAGCGCCAACATTCCTTTACCTTGGAAAAAAATCCGGTTGGGATTTGCTGTGTATGAAAATATTTCCCTAAATTACTTTAACGTTGAAGAGTCAAGAATTCTTGTGTTCCAGTGCTTGGCACTACAGCGAAGGGGGAAGAGGTCTCGGCTGCAGGTCAGAGGGAAGGGAGCGGTGTTCCAGGATGCCATATTGGTGTGCACAGATGGATCAGCTGGGCAGGGGGAGGCTCCTGAAGGCAGCCCCCGTGCTGTCCCCCGGAGTTAAGTGTCACTGGGAGGGTGACCGTGGTCGTGCGTGATTTACCTTACCTCGTGCACAAGGAAACCTTTTGAGGTCCCGCTTCCCACAAGACCTCCTAGGAAGGATGCCGCTCTGCACGCGGGCACAGGCGAGGCGTTCCGCTCCGGCAAGGTCCAGCCCCCAAGGCTGAGCCTGTGCGGTGCTGCCGGTGAAGCCGCTTCCGTGGGGAGCGGGAGGTTGTGCTCCCGCCGAGGCAGAAGCACCGGTGCAGACACGGTTATGCAGGGGGAAGGCTTTTGGCTCGAAAGGTAAAGCTGGCAGAAGAACTTAGTTGCCAGCGTGAGCTTCGGCTCTGCCAAAGGTTTGACTGGGATCCCTGTTGGTGTAGCGTTTCTGGCAAACTCCTGAATGCTACAGCGGAAAGGAGGAAAACCTGGATGCTGCCTGGGAACCCAGGAACAACCAGGGCTTCAAAACTTACTTTGATACCTCCAGTTCATTGAAGTCCAAGGAGGTCAGAAACACTGAATCACGAAGCAGAGGTTAATACGCCGAGTTAGCGACAGCAGTGAAAAGCACCGGCATGGCATTTGAAGTGCCCAGGTTTGTGTCCTCCTTTGGAGCGTGTTGTACATTTGGCCATAGAGGGGTTGATAGGTGAAGCCTGTCGAATGCAGCAAAGCCTATTGGTAGGACATCTTTAGGCCAGTGGCAAGTTTAAATGTGAAGGATAAACTCCCTTTGAGGTTCTCAGGCCGAGTGGGAACCTGTACCGTGTGATCTCCCGGGTTTCATTCTATGGTTCTGCGCCGTGTCCTAGCCAAAATCCCTGGGGAGCCGGAGCCTTTCCCTGGGGCTTGTTACTGAAGTGGCTATGCAGATGCACCAAGAAGACGTTACTCCGAGGTGGTTGAGGAGGAGAGAGTGTCTTGTGTCTCCAGTCTTTGTGCGTACTCCTTGGTGTATTTAGAGCAAGCGGCGGGTCAGCGGTTTGCAAACCCTTGGCTCTTCTCATCTGAAATTGGTGATCACCTCGCTGACCCCCCCAAAATCCTTTGTTTGTTAGGCATCGAAGCCACGAATTCCCTCGGGTTACTTCTTACACTCAGCTTCGTAGATGCCTGCAACTACGTCTGGCTTCAGGGCACCCTCCTTCCCCTCTCCTCTAGGTGATGGGCATCTACTTCTTTTTCCACTCTAATTGGAGGCCTTGGTCCTACTTTATTCAGAGAAATCAATTTGTTCCTTCCTTCCCCGCACCCTTCAGAAACGTCTCGAAGTGTGCCAGATCAAGTGGCTGGATTTTTTTTTTTTTTGAGGCAAATTCCATCATGGCCTTTTAATTGCAAATGGTGTTGTGGAATTCTGTTCTTATTTAAAAAAAGAAAAAAGAGAGAAGTTGGGCATGTTCTTTCTGGGCATATTCTTTCTAGGCATGCTCTGTGGGCGTTGTAATTATTAGACTCTGTTCTCTACAAGTCCTGTTTGTTCCTGAGTATAGAGCCAGGCCCTTTGTTTGCTGGGAGAGGTCAGTTTTTGCCTTCCATTTAGTAGGTAGGTGGGAACAGAAATGTCAGTGTGTTCCTCTGGAAGAGAGGCAAAGGAGGGAATTAATACGGGCTCCTAGCAGGCTTTTCGTTTCTCCCCTTGGCTGGAGTATAGCTCATAACCCGTTAGCATGTGGAGCGTTCCCCATCCCCTCGGTCCTTGCCGGCTTTCTGAGTCTGGCTGCTGGAAATACTCCGTCCTGCAGCTTGCGGGGTTCGCTGCGCATCAGCACTCTGTGCGGGGCTGGTGGTGGTCTGGGGTCACCCTTCTGCTGTCTCAGCCCTCCATCGCTCCACTGAATGGTGACGGTCCTCATCCGTAGCTGCTCCCGATTCCGCCAGCAGTTCTTGGAGCCAAAGGATTTGCCCCTGAGAAGAGCAGCAGAGCCACGCACGGTCCATAGTCTCCCTTGCCAAGGTGGCTGGGCGGCAAGTATCCCAAAATCTGTCTGAGGTGCTCTGCCAGGCTGTCACGCTGCACTTGAAGGGGCTGTTGGCCTTCCTGCTGTGAAGACATCCTTCTAGCAAAAAGGCCTCTGCCTAAATCCAGGGATTTCTGCTCAATTCCTACTCTTTGCCTTTATACCCATCCTTCCTGAGGCTTCTTCCAGTGCTGGAGTCCTCATGGCTGACTTCCCCGGGACATGAGCCGTTGCAGGCGGACCCTCCGGCCGAGCTGGCGTGGGACGTGTGCCGCCTGTTCTCCTGAACAGGGGAACAGAGACGGAGGTCGGCAGGATCTGACTTGTGTGAAGGAGCTGTTGCTCCTCCATAAAGAGGCTTCAGAGCCCCCCTGCCAGGGAGCACATTTTAGTGTGGTACAGAGCTCAAGAGTGTCTTGAGCACAAAAAGAAGCTGCAGTTTGGGGTGGGGGAGTTGATCATTCGCATATCTCAAAAAGTTAGGACAGTGTTGGTCTGTCAGGGGTAATTATGCTAATTCCTGTGCTTATAAACTTGTCTTTGTCCATGAAAATTGCTTGGAATTCGTAGCAAGCCATGTTTTCCCCAGCCGGGTGGTGAGTTTCTTGTTTCTTTTCTTGGCTCGCTTTTCGGATTCCCACAGAGGACAGCCTCTGATGTTTCTCAGTTCTCCAAACGCCGCTGGCCCTGACGTCCCTTCGCAGCCTTGTCTGGGTGCGTGTGCTACAACAGCCCGTCTAAACCGGATCAGCACCACAGTGATGATGTTACAGCGCTTGGCCGCTTCCAAGTGCCGCTGTGCTGCCCTGTAGCCAAGCCACGCGGCTTCATCCTCCCTTCAAAGACTGTCCGCAGCCTGGCTGGGAAAGCTGCACCCCAGTTCACGTCACCCAGCTGGGAAAGCTGCTCCCAAGTTCAGCTCCTCAGTCCTCCAACAAAACCCATCTGTCTTACCCGAGCAGGCTGCAAGTGAAGCTGCATTGCTCCGTTGTCTTTGTGAGGGACGTGGCAGGTTGAAAAAACCTGACTGAAAGGGGGAAGGTTGGATGTGGACAGGATCTGGGAACAAGAACTCTCCCAGAGAAGCTTGCTCGGACGGGAATAAAGATTCCGCAAGTACGTTGGGTGTAGAGGGACTCAGGCGCGTGCTGTGGGCCCAGAGCCGAGGGAGGATGAAGTATCTCTGCAGATAGATACTGACAGATTCATGGTCGCTTTTCTCCTCCAAATAAACTGGATTTTAGAGCTGATGTTCTGTAGTTTCTCTGACAAGTGCTCACAGGTGTCTCTGCTCCAGGTCCAGTCTCCTGTGGACTCTGCCACGATGTCACCAGTGGAGAGGACAGCTGCCTGGGTTCTCAACAACGGGCAGTATGAAGAAGTGGAGGAGGACGCAGACCAGAACGCAGATGAAGTCAAGCATGCTGAGAAGGTAGATGTTATCCTGCATGCAGCCTTGTCCACCCTCCAGCCGAGCTCGGAACGGCTTTCGGGCGCTGCCGTGCTGTCGGGCAGGCTGTACCGGCAGCTGTACTGCTGTCACACGTCTGCAGTACCGTATCCCCTACTGCGGATTAACCCACGTGCGTCCAGCGCGTCAGACGGGTGCAACTCGGCGTAGCTGAGGGTTTGCACGATGCAGGCGGCGCGCCTCAGCTACAGCGCTGAGGTTTAGCAAGAGGTGTTGGAGAGCGCGGGGAGCGAGGGGGAGAACATTCGGAGGGCAAGAAGCAGGAACACAGGATGAGTAGAGAAGGCGAAGGAGCCCAGACCCGAGTGGAATATGTTGAGATTCGCTGCACTATTGCAGAAGTGATTCTCCCCAGAGACAGTAAGTAGAAGGTCCAAACCTCAGCCAAGTAATCTTCCAGGTTCTACTCAGTAGTGAGTGGTTTACTCTCCCTTCACAAGAGGTTTCATACCTTGATTAGGCCCTGAAGAATGAGGTTTTTGGGTCCCACACTTGGCCATTTTGTACGTTGGGTGAGTCCAGGACGTTTTTACAGTTGAGCACTATTCCCAGCTTTTGTCTGGGAACTCCTTGAGTCTGGAGTGACCAGGGCTGTTACCAGTCAGGGCTGAGGAGCCACGTCAGAGCCCTCGAGTGTTGAAATTGTGCCACAGAATGACATCCTATAGTGTGGGAATAGCTTAGTGCTCAGGGGGAGCCTGCGTGCTCCTTCTGTGTGGTGGCCTACAGACGTTTGCTTGGCATTTCCTTCATTTCTGTCCGTTTATTTTTCATGGAAAACCCAATGTCCTTCTCTGAACAGGAGCACGAGGCTACAGTGATCTGATGTCTTCCTTTTTCCTCTTCATCTGATCCTTTCCTTCCACCCGCAGTATGAGCAAGAGATCGCGAAGCTGAAGGAGCGCCTGAAGGTGTCGAGCCGCCGGCTGGAGGAATACGAGCGGCGGCTCCTGGTGCAGGAGCAGCAAATGCAGAAGCTGCTGCTGGAGTACAAGTCTCGGCTGGAAGACAGCGAGGAGAGACTGCGCAGGCAGCAGGAGGAGAAGGACAGCCAGATGAAAAGCATCATCAGCAGGTCAGCCTTTGGGAAGTTTGGGACTGTCTGGGGCAAGAAGCTCCCGTGTCGTGTGTTCTCCCTGACACGAAAGAAAGTAGTTGCGTGGGCTTCTTGACATCTCTGGGCTGATACTGTCCTGCCTTAGAGATGAAGATGCAGGTGTGGAAACTCGCCTCGGACTGCCAAGAGCGTGTGAAGGAAAAGATTTAGGAATTTTTCACCCCTGGTTTTTGCTGTTCTTAGACCTGGTTTTTTTGCTCTGTTTGGAATCTTTGCTCAAGGTCGGAATTTTTTAGAGCAGTTGCATTTTTGGCAACATCCATTTGGAGAATAACGAGGTTAGGCAATTGGGAGTGTTGGATGGCTAGATAAGCTTTTCCAAGCGCAGCAGAATTCTTCTCTTGCAGAGTCAGGACAGTCAGAGGAGTCAACCAGGCCAGAGTCCCTGAAACACTCTGGATTGGTTTTACTGCCCTAATTTGTACCTCTTTCTGCTCATCAGACTCATGGCAGTTGAAGAGGAGCTGAAGAAGGATCATGCAGAGATGCAAGCTGTCATCGATGCAAAGCAGAAAATCATCGATGCACAGGTAAGGAGCTCGGGGGGTCTCCAAGAACCAAGTGTTCTGTGCGTGAACCCGTTATTTCCCCTATCGTCCTGCCCCAGCGTTGTTTCCCAGCTCCCCAGCCAGGATCGGCCCACGGTGTCGCATGTGTGATTTCCCGCCTCCTAGGAGGGAATTGAGTTGTTTACTTAGTAAAGACTCTTCTGCCTGGCACTGGGCTTTCAGCAAGCCTGACACAAGCCACAGGATCACAAATCGCTTCTCCCAAACCCTTTCTGCTTGGTGAGACCCCGGGGGAGGGGGGCAAAGGGAACAGTGGTGCACTGTGTAGGCACTGTTCCGAGCGCGGGGCTGGGAGCTCCGGGAGAGCTGTGCCTCATAGCAGCGTAGCTGAGTGGCCATGTGCATGCGTCTCAGGCTGAAAGCATGGCTTTGAACGTTCTGGCCGAGAGGAGAGAGCGCTTGCCATGGAGCGGTGCCCCGTGTAATGTCATTGCTGGCATTTCACCCCATCTGACCGTCCGCCTCAGTCCCGGAGAAATGCCCACAGACCTGCAGTGCTTGCCCCCGGCCGGCGGTAGCCGTGGCCGGCGGGGCCCAGCGGGCAGTGCATGTGGGTGTAGTGTGTGGGAGCATTTCGGCGTTTCTTCTGTGTCTGTGCTGATCCCGGAGGGCAAAGCGTGTACGACAGAACCCGGACGGGTCCCGTGTCTGCCTGCCCCGTTACGTTTGTGATGCTCGCGCTGGCAGGGCATCGTTCCTGCTCCTGGGCTTTTCAGTAGTTCCAGCTGTAAACTTCCCGTAACAGATAACCCTAAAATGACCTGTTTGCAGAAGAACCTGCTGGCAGAATGACCTGTTTGCAGGTTATTATGGAAAGGTGTTGCCCTTCACAAAGAGTCGGGGAGAAAAGCCTCAGCTAGTGAAGGTGGTTCTGGTGTGTTGGAGTGTAGGCAGAAGCGAGCACGGAAGGGCGTACC